AGACTATTAGTGATCAAAGCCCACAGTAATAAAGAAAAGAAAACAAGAGAGCAACTCTAAGAATTGAAAGAATAAGTTTTGTGTGTCTGATAGATATAGTTATTACATCTGTCTCTATCAAGAGAACTTGTAACATACTGTCTCAATGAGAAATTTAAGTTATCTCAGCATGCTGTACATGACTACTGAAAATAATTATCTGTCATGATGATCAGAACTTCTTTCTGAAGCTGGGCTCTATCTCTCAGCCAAACAGAGTCTGTTGAATTAGTAAGAGTTGTGAATCAAAGAGAGAAGAAAGCAAGAAGTTGTCTCTCACAATCAGATAAATTCTGATCTGAAATTAAGAGTAGAAGATGGTTCATAGTAACTGATGTTCTGACTGACAAGTTAACAGTCAGAACAGAGACTGGGGAAGCAGAAGCAGAAGCAGATACAGCAGACAGAGAAGAAGTTGATGAGACTGACTTTTAAAGAAAGAAAAGCATTAGCTGAGACTCTCAATATCACTTTGTAAATGAATTTACAAAGCAGAAACTGTCTTATAAGTTATGTTATGAAGCAACTCAACATATCTTGAATGCATCAGAGACAGAATCAATGCTTGAGAATGAGCACAGCATAGAAAAGAACACAGACTGAGAATGAGAATGTGATAGAAACAGATCAGACTAAGAAAAACAGAACAGTGCATTATCAATAAAAGTTTCAGATTTAAAAGATGAATGATCATTCTCTCTTAAGATCTGATCAACTGAGACAACAGAACTAGTAGTTGAAAAAGAATTGTTACTAGACATAGTAGATATCATTAAGTGTTTCCATCAAGTTTGAATATTAGCACTCTGAATATGCCATCAGTCATGCACACAGAAAAGAGAATTATGGAGTGAGGAAACACTTTGTAAAGAATATTTCAGACTTCATAAAAGCAATTACAAAGCATTAAAAGAAGAAAAAATGAAAGAATATCACTTACATCATCATAATTAAAATCAGACTGACTGAATCATAATGTCTGAGAAGAGATCTTAAAGTCTTCAGAGACATAACTCTCTGTTGTGTAAATGAAGACTGACAGTAATGATGTTTCTTCACTTTGATTTTCTTGAAAAATGACAGTGATTGAGAACTCTACTTCAGATGAAGCAGAAGATTCTGAAGACATCTCTCACATTGTCTCTGAAAAGAGTCTTGAACAGCAACTGATTGAAGTTTTACTCTTAAATTTACTAAGTCATTGTTGCTCATGTTTCAACATCTTAATTTTAAACAGAAAGAAGACACAGCAAATTATCTCTCTGTATAATATATTAGCACTGAGAAAAGCTCTTTACAAAATCTCTCAAGATTTATAATCATCAAGAAGAGAATGCTTGTCTGGAACTCTTATTAAAATAAAGAAGAATGTTGTTGAAAAGAAAAGAAGAAGAGAGAGAGAGAAGATCAAGAAAGAGATATTTATATTTAAGAGATTGTTAAATATTACTAGATGAATCATGAAGAACAATAGTTACTACAGTAACTACATTATGATCACAGAGAAGCTGTCACTCTTGCTGTGATCTTACTGTTACATCTACATCTAGAAACAGAGATTGAATTAAGACTATGCATTGCAGTCTTCTTACATTCATCACATCAAAAAGAGATTTTGTACAAAATTGTTACAATCACAGTGAAGCTGTCACTCTCACTGTGATCTTGATCACATCAACATCTTGAGAATTAAGACTTATAAAGAGAGAGAAATCTGTAAGACTCTGCACTGCAGTCTTCTTACATTCATTTCATCATCTAAAAGAGATTTATAAAATCTTCTTGATGCTTAGATGATTATACTTCATGACATTTGAAATTCATAAACTTTATGACTGATTATATAATCTCATTAGCAAAGCTAAACACACAAAATCTGCCACAGATGTTTCTTTATGAAAATCAGTGACAACATATCTAGAGACTCTAGATACTGTTGTAGCAATATAAGTTATCTCTCTCTCTCTCATACTTAGATCTCTTCATAACCATCTCTCACTCAATCTAATCTCATTTATGAAGACTGTAAGTCATTGCCATGTTATCTGCAATCATCTGATTCTCACAAGAACTTTACTGTCATTCATCAGAACTTCTTCTTTTCTGAAGTTATCTAGATTTGAACATTCTGACTCTTTAATTGTAGAGTGTTCAGTCATTGTTGAGTCAATGTATGGTCATACTCTATGTGCTTCTGCATGTATTGTAATTATTGTGTATCATGCTTTTCAATCTTCTCTTGTAACTAATTTAATAATCATATTACTCTTTATGAAAGATAGTTTTTTCATCTTCATGTTGTTAGTGGTTCTATTTCTCTGTGTTCTTAGCTGTGATTCTGTTCACTGGCAATATCAAATTCACTTTATCAAGTGTGTGATCATAAGATATTCAATTATAAAAGAAATGTGGAAATAGAGTGCTTTAAGTGTCAGCTGAGCTTATAACTGTGATGCTACAAGCTATGAGCTGGAGAGAAATGCCTAATTTGTCTGATCTCATATTGAAGAGGGATCTAGACTGGTTTATATAAGCAAGTGGCTAGCCCAAGTGGGGCAAAAAGAGCCAATCAGAGTGTCAGCTCTGATCATGCATATGTGGCAAAAAGGCATGTGATTTGGAACCTAGTGTTCTGAATCTGCGCCATACAGGAAAATGAAGAGAATCCTCTAATCTCCGTGCCTAGCCTAGCCCAGGCAGGCCTCCGGCTGACAACTTAGGCTACAGTAGGCACGCCGTTGTTGTTCATGGAGTACAACCATCATTGAAGCACACTTCAGAGGCATTTAGTGGCCGCAAAATAGTACCTCAAGGGAGGATGGTAGAAAATCCGCGGGTTATGTTAGCTCATTCCAATGGTATATGTGAATTTTGGTATCCAAGCATTGTTGTGGCGCCAGAATAATGGAAGTGTTGGGGGTATAGTGACACGGCCAGGATTATTATTTATCCGATCTCGAATCCAAGTTCATTGTATTATTACTCGTGCCTCGCCCGGTTATTAAAAAAAACGTAACCAATGATGAATAGAAAACCATACAGAAGTTTTTTTTTTTTTTTTCATATAAAGCAGGAGGTTCTTCTTTGTCTCTAATTTTTGCAATACAACCTTTGGTCGAGTGGGTACTCCGTATATGTTGGGGAAGCCAGCGCCCTTATCAGGGTGTACGAAGTACGGAGTCTTCTACACCTTTCATAACTACCTAGCATCCTAGCTACACTAACTTTACATAAGAGCCCTATTGGCAATATCTACTTCATATTTAGATGAGTGGCCATTTGGAAAATATGATCCACTACTCTTAAACAAATTGTGGACCGGTCGGCCGCTACATTTTGCATCTCCAGAGTATAGAGAGCCTAGATAAGTTTGAGTATAATAACCAAATAGCTAGCTTCAAGTTGTGCATGGCATACGGAGTAATGGACAAGGAAATTCTCCATAGCTACCTGCACTGCCCCGCTCTCCTCGGATGCGCCTTGCATGGAGCATGAGGCTCCGGGGTATGCAGCACATTCGACTCAATATGACTAAAGCCAACATAACAGACACTAGGGGCACATATTCTGCAGGTCGTTGCCCCAATATCAATTCTAATACCTCCGTTCAGAACTTTGACCTTAAGCCGGCACTGGGTGTAACCATTGCACATTTCCTTGATGGTATTATTGAGAACCGTTTGGACAAGTACGAACTGCATCCAAGTGGAGTTGGATGCCGATACTGGGTGTACGTCATTGTTCTCTGTAATACATATGCTTATCATTCTTGCTGACTAGAGTCATAGTATGTCAGCCATCAAAGTTTTAACTACACCATACAACAAGACAGAACACTGGACCCAATGCTTCCTGGGAAATTCCTGTAACAAGCTGTTGTTAAGAGGGACTTTGACCCGAGTTCGGAATACAAGAGATTTTTGTTTCCCTCCATTTAACTCAATCTCAAGATCTACAGCCAGCGCGGTGACTACGATATAGTCAACTCCATGGAAGTTATATTATTTTTGATATACGGAGTAATCAACAAAATGAACAACTGTGTGGGGGATTTTCTTCTACTGACGACCACCTCTGCCTTGTGCATGATCATAGTCATTAGGTGATGAATACCATAACAGTACCTAACCGGCATTACCATGGCCAGGACCCGTCTGACAAATGTGTGGCAAAAGAAGCACACATCCATTCAAGAGCTGGCGTACCGCCATACCGCATCAATCGGCACCAAAGCGCCCAGCCCCTCTATGTACAGCCCAAATGAGTCACTTCACAAGGGCAACCTGTGGTGCCAGCCAGTAAATGACATATGGATGCGGGGTACTCTGTAATGCCTTACACTCTAGACCCTAAGACGGTCATCCCTTGAAATAATTAGCATTCTAATATTTAGGTGCTAAAAGTTGTGTAGTCCATGCTGTAGTGCAGTTATTTTGCTGTCAAAGGCAGTGCTAATGTGTCATAACTTCCTGAGCTATTCTGAACATCCTATTTATGAGTTTGTCATCCTACTGGCTCATTGATCTACCATATCACAATCTTAGTATTTCATTGAATGGAAGATAAATCACACATAGAAACTACAATTATATATTTCACAACTTGCTTTCGCCCTGCGTACTTGATGCAAATGCAGGCGGACTGTGGTCAACGGGCCCTTGAAGCCAGTTCACCATCCTCTGCACGGCTTTGATAGGATTCAAACCATCAGCTGTATAAGACATGAATAGTTAGTTGGTCTCTGATACTGACAGCACGCATGCGCTCTTAATCCGTAAGGTTGCTATTTCAGGAATATACCAAACAAAATGATACGAAAGTAGTTGGGGCAACTGACCATAGCCAATGAATGGTCGGTGCACTCGATATCCCATCATCTCAACGATTCTTGGAGGTATATCTCTTAATTTTCGTGGATCAACAGCGAGTATTTGATTTTCAATTGGGCGAATCTACTGATGTTAGAGATTGACTTTATCGAAGGTAATGTCGCCGCTCACATAAGGCTGGCAGTATTGTACCGTCGCACTTTTACGTGGGCTCTGGGATCGGTTTGCACCACCACAATGCCATGTAGTTCCGATAAAGTATACAACACTCCCTGCTGGACAAATCATCGGAACCGTTTCCTCATACTCTCCTCTTCTATCGGAACCCCAAACATGACTACCAGGAATGATACCAGTTGCGCCATTTTCCAGGGTGAAGTCATCAAAAGCTGTATACATCAAGATTATTAGTGTGTATGCTTTCATGACTGACGCGATGCGTATAACTATACCAATTATGATAGCCGTCCCAAGCGGCAAACGCGGACGTGGAACATAGCAAAATGCGTCATCTGTGACCGAGGCATCAGTTTAAATAATCCTTTACGCAATAAAAGAAGCGCACCATGATGCATGTCTTGGTTTTTTTCGCCCGGATTGATCTGTATTGTGTGAAAAGAGCTGATATTGTAACCATGGTCCAGGAAATAGTCATTGAGTGCCAGCACCCGCGGAAGAGTTGTAAATTTGTCAAACTTTCTCGTCCTACTAAGGAGTAAGTTACGGTAATAAAAGGAAGCAGAGAGCCTATGGTAGCCGAGGAGAACGCCTACTCACTTATTCAGCAACGAGTAGATTCTGTTGGTATTGAAACCTTCAAAGGCATTCCGCCCAAGCAAGGGTGATGAACCAGTAAGGCGATCAATTTCCGACTTCGCTGCCTCTGCCTCTTGCTTGGTGAAGCAGTCCTGTATCATAACATAGCCATGGTCAAGGACGTGTTCGATGTTTGCCCGATCGATGAGGTCGTCGGGCAAAGGATGTCTCATCAAGCCGATGTCACGGAGAAGTTCGCGTTGCTGTTCCATGTTGGAGTCGTTCCAGAAACAATGCGACTCGGAAAAAACATGTAACCGCTAAGTTGAAATCCATTAACTATAGTAGAGCGGTAGGATTCTAGGGTATAAATAAAAAATAGCGTTGCTGTCGCCAGTACCCCAAGGGAGTATTGGCCCGGCGGGGTCGCAGCGTGTGTTTGATGTCCCCTCATCGACGACCAGAAGAGCTGTAGTGCGTAAAGCCGAAGCGCTTCAGTAGTTAACTAACTAGCCAACTAACAGCCATTGAACTAGCCTGTGAACCTCGGCTTACAGACTTCAACCTACAATAAACCTGGGAACTGTGTAGGGTCAGAATGGAGAAAGGAGTAACTAGCTAGTTAACGATGATCTGTTACTAAATATGAGTAACTAACTACGCCGGAAAACCTGGCTTAACTATATGTTCGGGGTATGTATACCAACTATGCAATGGTCATCGCAAAATCCCAGCCAAGTGGCTCTTCAAAAGAACCTAGGTGTGTTCGTGAATTCATTATTTTTCATAGGCTCTTATGCAGTCTTAGACTATGAAGAGCCACTCTCTCCCTAATCTGGCTTAGTTACAGTATGTGTTATTCTCGATATCTGGCCTCCCATCACTCCATTCTGTGTAAGTCTCAAACTGTAGCATGTCCAAGGGGGACCAAGACCCCTTATTCAGAGCTAGGTGTGTATATAACTAGACAACTAGTTAGAGGTTGGATTGAGCCTATCTGGGTTAAATACTCCCATAGGAAGCAACTACTGGACTTCTGAGAAAGCTATAGATTCAAACTCAAACCTGAGATTCACGCTTCAATTATCGCTGGGCTTTTAGGCTCATATTTTCCAGTATCGCTGCCTGAAGGCGCTCTATGAGATTTATCCCAATCAAACCATTCATGCTCAAATATATCTTTTTCATCTGGGGGGCACCCATCGACGCGTAACCAAGTGAAAATAATCCGCGTTGCATTTTCCGAAGCTCTCCCTATCCATATCCAGAAACTCATAGTTCACATCTATGTTCAATTTTGGGTTTCCAATTTGCGCAATAGACAGAGGAGTGGTAGAATTGCAGTCCTGCACTACCTCTGTCTCTCCAATACACTTCCACCTCCACGATTTGAGCCTAAGGCCATGGGTACTACCGCAGCTTGTGTGAAGACGAACATCGAGGTCTGAATCTTCAATTGCTGTTGACCCAAATGGTATCCATGGGGATATTGGAAAAGATGTAGGGTATTGTGTTCTTGTGAGATGTAAAAGCCGGCATTCATCTGATCGCAAGATGTAACGACTATTGCTTGAGTATTTGGATACAGGCTGTTGCATAAACGACTGCAAGGTGTGACACCATGTTGCGGCGTGACGATCAACAGGAATATGTCCATATCGCGCGGTCTTCAAAATTTCTTCGTGAAGCCCCATGACTGTAGCACCAAGCCACAAAGGAAAAATATGAGGTACACGGCTCATCATTATGCGGACAAGTATGGAACCATCAGGAACAGTGCGAAGTACCGCGAATATTGATTGCACCCATGTGTCGACCAGGTTGCATGGGATTGTCGGGTCATAAAAAGTACTGCCTAGTAATGAGAAAAGACCTCGGTTATGTGAACTGAGAGTTATAAGCTTGTCCAATGTATGGTTATTCTCTAGCCATGATCCAGCTCGTGAGCTATTGCTTTCAGGGGTATTGCGTTGCATATTGTTTGTTGAAATCCCCAATTTTGGACGTTGCAAGAAAATATCTTTTCCATAGTCACTCGTGATAGGAAGGAACAAAGCTGCTGATAGTGCGATGTGATTTTGGTCCATAATATCATGATAAGCACAGTAATCGTAAAGGAATCGAAGAGCATTTGTGTATGACGCTGGTAGATCTGTAGAAGCGGCATGAGAGACTCTGCGAGAGAAGCAAAAAGTACTATTTGCCTTGAGATTGATAGACCATGGGGATTTGACTGTAGCTGACTCGAACGTAATATCGGCTTCCCAGCCACCAGGACTCAAAATAGCGGACCACTACCTGACAGCGTCTTCCTGAGCGTTGCCTATATCCACGACGATAACATCATTCGCGTTGATACCGCAATCTCTTGAATCAGCAAGACTACCCGTATATCGAATCTTGTTTGACCCTGGCAATAGATCAGCCCACCGCGCGGAAAATATATAAGCCCAGGCGAGGAGGAGAATAGCTAGATGGTCATGATGGTCAGTAAGCAGATTACTGTAGCATATACCTCGGTCGTGAGACCAGTCTATTGGTGTAGTAGTCCCAGCAGACACTGCTATCTCAAGATGTTCTTCAAAAGCAGGAATGTTGCAATCCTGGGAAGCCTCCCATGTTGAGATCCCTGCTCCAACGACGCGGCTATTCCTTGATTTGAGCTGGAGATCGCGTGGGAAATGCGGGTGATATCGAACAATATCTTCGAGTTGAGCACGTAAGTTTGGTAAGGTTGTTATCTCTGAAGCTTGTAGGGAAAGGCTGGACCAGATACAGATTCCTTGTTGATATACCGTCTTACATTGTTGAAGATTGGGGCGCACTGGATCAGACATATTGATCTAAGTGCAAGCAATATTCAGCCACTGTAAAAAGTACTTTTGTGTGGAGTGAATTATGGAGGCGGTTTTTTCAAGGGAGTTGTTGTAGTTCTAAAATATAATGCAACTAGCTTAGGCGATCGAGGGCGCGGAATGACAGCGTGCGACGCCGCTTGCAGCTTTTAGTTGGGGAGAGGCGTAACTAATAATATACAGATCGAGCGAGGAAGCGATCGACGATTCTCCATGGCGGCCCTGCAGAAAGTGCGGCGCATTGGATTTTCATCGTATAACTATGTAAGAGATGCCTGTGGCTTGGGTAAAGGGATGATGCCGCCGGCTCATGGGTAGGAAATGCGGAGCACAGAGATCCGGTCCATCACGTCGAAAAGCCATGCCATAGCAATGAGCTGCTGTTTCATTACAGTTCAAAAGCAAAACAAAATGAAAAAATAAAGGTGAACATAAAATTGTACAGGAAATCAAAGGCGCCGAAAGCCGCGGCAGTAAATAGAAGGGAAATTGGGGATGTCAAGGAAGATATCCAGTGGGTTGAAGGCAACACTCTAAGGGCTAACAGTAGCCGCTGTAACATTAGGGCCTAGGGAAGGCTATCCTCTTCTTACGAAAATTAAGCGTCTACCTTATCAGCGCTGCCGCTGTGCCGAAATCTATTCCTGCCCTTTGCAAAAAGCCCCTTGGCCGCACCGCCTGCCTTGCCACCTAAAACCCCTGCGCTGTGTAAAAGATCTTTGCCCTTAGCCTGCACCTGCTGTGTATGTATCATGCTACCCAGCGGAGTAGAAGAGTGTCGCATATGTGTCCGGGAGGCCGTCGGGCCTTCCTGCGATGTTAGGTGAAGAGACGGCAATCTTGAAAATTTGGCTCGGGGTATTGGTCGTTGAGAGGCGATGGACCCTGGTGGCAGTGCACCATTGTGTTGTATAAGATCTGCATGCTCTGAAAGACTCTCGACGGTTTGGTTTAACCAGTCTTGGAGGCCCGTGTCACTAGTGGCAAATTGCTCTCGCGCCCGATCGAAGGCGGATATCTTCTGACTGGTAGTCGTCATCGCCATGATCTCTCGGAAACCCAGGATGCCTGCAGTCTCTGCCATTGACGGGCTATCGACTTGCTCTACGGAATCCCGGGATGGCAGGGGTTCTGACATAAAATTGTTTTCATGAAGAAGTGGTGCGTTGGGCAGTGTATTCTTTGAGGGCAACTCAGTCTCCCCTGTGGACTCGTGGGCGACAACAGATGGCGTCTCGCACAAAATAGGGCTCAAAACGGGCGAGCTGGCCCGTTTCAAGGGTGGTATAGGGGAGCTGGTGGAATCCACAGTGTCATCGACTTTCCGGATCGTCTCTGATGGATCGCGCGGGGAGGCAATGTCGGTTGGCTGCTGATCTGGTTCCCGCAGTGGGGCAGGTGTACGAGAGTCACCCCCATCAGAATCGGACTCCCAGGAGAATTTCTTTTTCAAAGCAGGCTGTTGCGGGCTGCATATCGAATCTCTGTTGCGGCCTAACGGTTGTGGTATGTCGGTGCTATTCTGATCAAGGAAACTTGGCGGGCGGGCTTCGAAGGCGTTGGATAGGCTGGTATCCTGGGGTATTGCTAGGGATAGTGGGAGACTGGAAGTAATACGATCCGATCGTTCGCCCCAGTAATAGTCATATTCATTTGGTACAAGATTACTTTCGTGCCTTATACGAGATCTCGACTCAAGGTCACCCCCAATGTTATCAATTGAATCGCTGGGTTGATTGGGTGGAGCGGGCGTCAGGGACCGAATGATCTCGTCCCTTAGCCTATCATTTAAGTCGTTGGTACTTGAAGTATTGACGACAGATCGGGTAGCCGAAAGGGGAAATTGGGCATTTGAATCAGACACTGCAGCCAATGTCTGGCTACCCTCAGTGTTAAGCTGTGTAGTATTGATATCGACGGCCTGGTTTACACTGGTGGTAGCTTTGATATCATCTTCTGTAATCTCTATAGTTGAGGGCCGTAGAATCCCGGTCGCACTCTGCTCCCCTTGCGCGGCATTGGGACCCGTTTGTTGATTGTTGGTTGGATGTAGCTCAGAAGCGAAGTTAGTTGTGAGGGTGGGTTCCGAATGAAGAACGGGAACCTCCATCATAACGACTGGCTGTCTTACAGGACTGTTGTCTTGTCCAGTGGGTGATAAGCTGCGTCTATGGCTTGGCTTGAGGTTAGAGACCATCTGTGTTGGATGTGGCGAGATAATATCTGTGGCTTCGCTGACAGAATCTCCATGAAATGTTGGGGTCTGCTGAGATGTCGTGTTGTCCGAATGTATGATTGGGGTGATGATAGATGTAGTGTTGCTGCTGGGGCTCGTAACACTCTCTTGCTGGGTGCTGGGGGTGTTGGGTGCTTCAAGGGCCTGATTAACAGCGGGGCGAAAGTCAACCGAGGGATCCCGCTCAACTCCAGGTGGTTGCTTAGATTGCTTGTTATTGGTGTTGATGGCGTTGGAGACTTCGACGGGCGGGCGATTTGAGGAATCGATCAAACCATCACCAAAGTTAGAAAATGGTTTTAATTCAGGTAGTTTAACGGGGTCATCCCCCTTTGCCACGGAATGTGGGAGCTGGGAATGGAATATCGTATTGGATGCAGGTAATCCGGTGTCATATTGCACAGGTTGCATGGATTTGCCAAGATGTTGTCTCTGATTCTCTTGAGAATCTTTTGCATCAACTAGGTCTGAAGTTATGCTTCCGAGGTCAGATCGAGAGTCTTTGGACTGCATATCTTGATTGGGATGAAGGTGGGCTTTCTGATCGGGAAGAGCATTGGATGGCTGGTCTGAAGGTACGGAGCCAGCTGTCTTCGAAGGGGTAGTTTGTTGTTTTTCTCTTTCCTTTGTCATTCTCTTATATATATCCGCGGGACGAATGAATGGAGGTGGTCCGGCGGAATTGGTCTCTTGGCTGAGCGTGTTCTGAGCTGCTGTCGCTGTAAGGGGGTCCCGATGCTGGGTAGCTGATGTATCCTCTAGGGCGACGGGATTGCCGGGAGGATGAGGAGGAGGAAATTGTCTAGAATCCTCGTCATACATTTCATCTCCGCTTTCCCCCCAATCGTCGCCGTCGTAGGTATAAGTCTTTGCGTTGACCCATCGTTTTGTTTTCATACGATTGATATTGGCTTTGAAGGAGGGAGGCTGCGAGGGTGACAGTGGCGAGAGCGGGCTACCACTGCCCGTTCGAGTTCTAGTGGAGGTGATTAGAGGCGGAGGCTGAAGTGGGAGAATGCGCCAGTCTAGTTAAATGGCCTCTCTTACCTCTCATTCTGAAGATAATCAGGCTGGTATCCAGCCATCTTTCCACACTGACTGTAAGGCGTGAAAGATGAGTACTAGGTAAGGACAGGTGTATAAATCTCCAGGGCAAGAAGATGCAGTAATAAAGAGAGTATTTAGCTAGTGAACAGCCATGCTACCGAGCCTAGTCCGTGTGTCAAGCGAGCTGTAGCGGGCTGAAGGTGCGTCTCGCGATGCTTGGCCAGGCCGATGGTATATAGGTTGCGCTCGAAGGACGGAGTAGCACGCGCCACGCGAACAAGGTGGGCCTTGCAGTGCCGCTGCTGCCTGTGATAGGGAGAGTGGCAGCCGGGTAGTTTGATCGTGCAGGCCTCATTATGTCATGCCGCTGGGGCGTAGTTTTTGGCGTGGTTGTCGTGAGTGCGTTCGCGGCTGGCGCTACCTAGGCGTAGTTTTAGCTACCGAGCTAACTTGCTAGCTATAAGTTAGTTAGCTACCTAAATCTGGCTGACTCAGCTGCCACTGGCGACGGGCAACGTTGCCTTTGGATCGTCCTATAATCCCGTTCGTTGGCCCAGAAGCTCCAGTAAACTGCGCCGTCCTCAATCCACCCTTCCCTCCCCCCTCAGCACCCCCATTCTCCCTCCACAGATACTACTGAATAGTTAACCAGCTCCATTCTATTCTATATGCTACCATCGCTCGATTACCAACGGCAATAACCATCGCACCGCCATGGGCGCCGTCCCCATCCAAGACCGAACACCTGAGTTTCGGTCGATCCTCAGCCAGGCTCAGAAACGACTGGCTTCCTCGAAGGCCGATGCACACAGGCAGGCTCTTCTTACCCAAAATGGCGCATCGCAAAACGCAGCCCCGCGGAAATCGGAATTTGCCCGGCGTGCCGCAGAGATTGGAAGAGGAATCACCGCCACGACTGCGAAGCTTCAAAGACTGGCGCAGTGTGGGTTCTGCCCCTTGCCCCCATGGCGCAATGCCTTATTGACCCCGGCTTTGGGTAGTGGCAAAGCGGAAATCTCTTTTTGACGATCGGCCCGTGGAGATTTCTGAGTTGACCTTCGTTGTCAAACAAGACCTTGCATCCTTGAACTCTCAGATCGCAGCGCTCCAATCCCTCACCCTCTCGCAGCACCCCAAGGCATCCCGAAGCGCTGCGGACCAAGAGGGGCAGCACAATGATAATGTGAGGTTTTCTGCTGATATCTGATCTTCGTCGCCCACTGACTGGCTGCAGGTGGTTGTTTTGCTTCAAGGAAAGCTTGCCGATGTTGGTGCCAATTTCAAGGAGGTCCTTGAGGTTCGTACCAAAAATATCCAGGCTTCCAGATCACGAACAGAAAATTTCATTTCTTCCGTATCCTCAAAATCCCAAACTGCCTTTGCTCCGCATCGCTCAGATTCCCCCTTGTACAACCTCCCTCGAGCAAGTAGCCCGCAACCAGGGTCATCAGACCTGCTAAGCCTAGAGCCCTCACGGTCCATGCACTCGGACCAACAATTACTCTTGATGGAAGAGGCCCAACCCTCAAACACCTATATTCAGGCTCGGGGAGAAGCAATCGAGGGCATCGAACGTACGATAAACGAACTTGGCGGCATTTTTGGCCAACTTGCAACCATGGTTAGCGAGCAGTCGGAAATGATTCAGCGAATCGATGCCAACACGGAGGATGTTGTTGATAACGTCCAAGGTGCCCACCGCGAATTATTAAAATACTGGTCTAGGGTCTCGGGCAATCGATGGCTGATAGCGAAGATGTTCGGGGTACTAATGGTAGGGAGAACATTCACTAGCCCATCCATTTATGCCTCTGCTAACATCGCCTGCAGATATTTTTTCTCTTATGGGTATTAATCTCGGGCTAGTGGTTTGCGTGATGGCGCAAGGGGTGCTGTACTAATATACTAGGTGTGGAGCACCCAGCTTCCTGCCCACACTTCTAGGAAATTGACCAGATTTCTGAATACGTAATATGGACTCATGGGTAGTCACTGGGGAGATTGGGGGTTTTACTATAGATATGTATCGGCACATTTGGGCGTTTGGTGTTGGAGGACTAATAGAACTGCATGTAGACATGCCGGGTGATATATGTATTCACACCACTGTGACTCGAGGCTGACATGTCCCTGGGCCCTGGTTTAATACCGTGCATGTCCTCTACATCCCTTCTTCGCTGCGCCATGGCTGTCGGGTGGACTGACTTGCTTGTTGTACTCCATACTCCGTACATACCGACATACTCCCAGGAAGTTTTTAAACATATGGCAGGGCGGAGTTTCCAGGGCCAAGAAACTCGTATTGGGCGGATTGCTTCCTGCCTCGATCCGCCTGCCCCACTGGGATCGAGGGGGCGAGACTGGGAGGTTTAGTTTCCTCTCAATGTTTCCCTGTGGTTGGGAAAGCTGCATTGACGAGTGTACCTCTTTCATTCTTTTGTGTCGAATCGACGATTGCTGCACATGAAACCGAGATCGAGGATTTTTCTTTCTGCCGTCGTTCATGCATCGCCCGTTGTTCCTTGCGGCGGATCTGCAACACTGGCGGTTTAGTGTTTACATACCCCCCCCTGGGACTTGGCTAGCCCCCAAGGCCCGTATCGGCGAGACCGTCGGAGCGGATTCGGCCAATAAGGGCTACGCGTGCAGAACAGCTAAGGGTCTCACGCCCGTTGATTGGCCAGAGTTCAGGGCCTCCCGTAACGGCAATACCACGCTCTGCCTCTTAGGTAATCTGCCCCCGCCGTTGACTGATTTCCTCCCGTTCTGGAGTTGCACGCGCTGCTTAACCCAACGTCGCTTCATCTCCTCCTTCTCCTCCTCCTCCTCCTCCTTATTCTCTCTCCTTCGCTATCTCCCTCTCTCTACCTCGTGCTCATTTACACAATCCCTTCGTCGTCCTTACTGGTGCCGGTTTCTACGTTCTCTACTTATGGACTGTGGTCCGATGCCATGAACAATTTGGTAAACCCCAGACACATTGTCTGATTTAGACTAGCTGATCTCCCTCCTGGAACGTCTGAATCCCCGTCAGGATCCTTCAATGCCCTCCTTTTCGCTGTTTTTCTTGTTTCCAGCCCTTCTCCATTCTCTACGGACCTAGACCCTTCACTGAAACGCGCGGGCTCGACCAGCCTACGCCAACCGCCAACCTCCAATGTCCAATGCTCAGTCCATCTGACATATTCGACACTCACTACTATCATTCCCGCCTCCGTCTCTGTGGCATTTCCGTGAGGACGACTCTCCGTCTTTTGCCTGCAGCCCCAGCGTGCCCTATGGTCGGCGGCTGTTGATTCAGCTCTTTTTCCTCATTCCACCGGCATGTTGCTGAAGCCAGCAACCCCTCTGACGCTACTGCTGCTGGCGGCCTTTGTCCTTCTCCTCCTATCCGTTCTCTCTGCACCTGTTATCAAGTCAATCCCCCTCGCGACTTATCAGAACCTGAGTTTTGGTGTCTTTGGCTTCTGCCAGGGAAATGATTGTCGCAATATCCGAGTTGGATACCCTCGCGGTATGCTTGCTATTATCACCTGGCTAACCAAAAATGCATGCTAACCAACTTCTCCCAGAGGGTATCTTTAACGACTCAAGTCGGGACGGGGACTTTAATCTTCCTGCATCAATCCGACTATCTTTGACCGCACTCCTAATCGTACATCCAATCGCTGCCTTTTTCGCATTCATTTGTTTCTCACTGGCCGCCGCCGCCCACCTCCATTCCCCTTCCCATTCGCCGCGATATCTTATGGGCCTTCTCATTTTGCTATTGCCAACACTACTACTTTCGTTATTAGCATTTCTCGTAGACATTCTTCTGTTTGTCCCATATCTCAAGTGGGGTGGGTGGATTGTCCTTGGTGCTACCATCTTGCTCACATCAAGCGGTGTTGTGACCTGCGCTATGCGACGAACTCTCGTCAGCAGAAAGGCCCGAAAGCGACGAATTGCTGAAAATGCAAAGATGAGCGGTGAGAATTATTACAACCGCCAGATTGTCGTCAAGCTTGATGTTCCTCCCGTGGGCAGCGCCTCGGACCAGAAAGCACCCTTGCCTACGGAGCTTCCGCGCACTGGAGATACGTTAGAGTCCGCGAATAACGATGCCTATCGCGGAAACCAGTCATCTAATGGCTTTGCACCAACAGAAGTCCTAGGATACACCAGAACACCTCCAACACCCCCAACAAACCTATATAATAATCCTCCTCAATCTGACCCGTATCGTCCCTCATATCCAGTCCGATCCGACCCAAACCTGCGAAACCAATATTCAAATGCAAGTATTCGATCCAATAGAAGTGACGGACCTTACCCACCAAGAGGCCGTGGCGGCTATCCGTCTCGCGGCAGAGGTCCACCGTATGGCGGCCCTCGAGGCTTTGCAGGTGGAAATAGGAACGGGCCACGCCCAGGGCCACCCCGGCGTGGCCGCGGAGGGCCTCCTCCTGGCTATCCGCCTCAGAATAGGATCTATCGTCCAAATGAGTATCCTGGCTATGAGGCCGAGCCAAGATATGGTGGATATGGTCGCCCATACCAAAACGGACCTCGGCATCCGTATCAAATCCAGAATACTATGACCATGGGGCGTGATATAGAACTGCAGCCACCGTCAGAGCCTGCTTATCCAGCTCCCATAGATACACGCAATGCTTCAGGCCCGAAGTATGGGGCGGGTCAGTCCGAGAACCCGAAAAGCCCAACTAGCGTTTATAGCGCGGACGCGTAAGTTCCCTGCTATTATTTGCTGTTTCTCCGAGCGTTATATTTATTGCTACTTTGGCAGTCCATATATTCCACCAAGAAGCAACTGGAACCCCCAGGAATACCCTATTCGAGAAGCAGCTAGAAATCAACAGTCTCCAGAAAGCCCCCTTGGGCCTACAACCCAACCCCGTGACATGACTCGTTCTCCCCCAACCGCCACCACTCATCCACCAAGCAGTTATTATGGGGACACGGAGCCCAGGTTTGCATTGCCAATGACCGGAGTAGAGCCGGCAGACGTGCCCTCAGCATTAGTTCCAGGCTCTTCTGGTGAGATCCCCTTGCGAACTGCCTACGATGATTTCCCACCTGGCGCACGCTCACCCGCTGCCAGCGAAACTAGCCATTTCACATCCATTTCGCAACGCGGCATAAACCCAAAGTGGCAACCCCCACAATTTGAGAGTGTCAGGCCAAATTTCCCGCAAGGACAGGACGTCTTGCTCAGCAACAATCCTGACTTTGCGCTCCCAACCGGTAGAGCCCGTGCCAACACTGGGCTTGGCGGTAGAATGCCCCCCCCAATGCCCACGATACCAGGCACTCCCACCGGTCATCGGAATGTGCCGAAAAATATCTTTTAATCACTTTTGTTTTTTCTACACCCTAACGCATTACGACTGCTTTTGGCCATGCCTGGCCTTGTGCATTTGCTTTTGTTCTTTTGATGGTCGTTTCCTTTGCATATTTTCCTAGCAGATTTCCACTTGTTTCATAATATACCTAGAATGCCCGGTATTTCTTTATCTTTGTGGGAAGGTAGGTCTAAATCTCTGGTTTATTTGGCGTTGGAATGTCTTACCCATATCATGGAAAACTGCTGGAATGAAAGTTGAGGTTGGCATTGGTTTCGCATGTTGTGCTTTTCCTCGGAGCCAGAGCGTGGTATATTTGGTCATGTTTCTCATTCCATTAGTTTACCTGAGACGTACTCTTTGCCGTGGAACTTGGGTTTGTTTAGTAATATGGACTGGGCGTGTATTGCATGGAGTAAACAAACACTGGCTTCAGTATAGTGGGATTATATGTAGGTTTGTTTGGATGCATTTACTAATGCTATGTCGCGTAAAGCATGAATGTCTGTTTGACGTTGAATGAACCAAATATAGGCCTAAAGCAATAATGATGGCCCTCTGCCAAATTGTCTCAATATCGTTCATTTAATTCTTTAAAACGAAGCTTCTAGAAGTAGCTTTTGATACTGAGAAATTCCAGGCAAGTATATTCTAAATATCTGGGATACCTTGATACACAAGAAAAACCTATAAGACCGTGGTGATACCTGCAATGGGTGAGCAAGCCATGAGGTTCAACCTGCTTGATTTAAGACACGAGACTCCTTCATTCGTTCGGCAAACAATTTCAATACGCTGATATGGCCAGAGCAACGTGGGAAATAAGCGATGAGGTAGTAGCGGAGTTAGCAAGTCACTTAGCTTTGGTTGGAGGAAATACCTCGGAACAGGAGTCAAGGTCAGATCAAATATCTGAGCAACTAAAAACAGCCCCATTACACTCTTCCAAAGTCCGTATTGCGGTTGGTACTATTTCTAAGGATATCTTTTCGCAATACGGCTTGCTAGGAAAACGTCTCACTACTTATGGACATGAAAGTGATAACCTCACCTTAGGCGAACCCAGGGATGAACTGATATACATGAACACGAATGCGCCATGGTCGACATTCATATGTGGCAGTCAAGGAAGTGGAAAGAGTCATACATTGTCATGCATGCTGGAGAACGCGCTTCTGGCTCCTTCACGGACTGGGAAACTCTCTGAGCCGCTGACAGGCTTGGTGCTTCATTACGATGGATTTTCAAGTGTCGATACAGGCCAACCATGTGAAGCAGCATACTTGTGCTCATTAGGAATTCCAGTGCAAGTACTTGTCTCACAAAGTCACTATCAGGCTATGAAAGTGTTGTATGAGAATCTGGAAGGGCTGCCAGAGGGTTCTCCTAAGCCTAAGGTGATGGCAATGAAATTTTTGGAGAAACACCTGAAAATCACAATGATTAAGTCGCTGATGGCGGTAGATAAGGATGGACAGATGCCATTATATATGGAGGTAAGCTGTTGGCAACGGGAAAGCATGTCATGGCGAGCCCCTAATGATTCATAGATGGTGACAAAGATTCTTCGTGAAATGGCAGAAGAGGACGGAAACTGCAATATTAACTTTGCAAAATTTAGGCAAAAGCTAGATGAGCAGCCATTTGCTCCTTCGCAGCGATCAATGCTAGCCCTCCGAATGGAACTGCTTCAGTCCTTTTTGGATACTGACCCAAAACCGATGGGTAAAAGGGCGGCAAGAAACACAGGCAGTAATAGGAAAGCCAACGAAATATGGAATTTCGAAAAAGGGTCAATAACTATTGTGGATCTGAGCTGTCCATTTGTGAGTACAGGGGATGCTTGTGCCCTTTTTAACATTTGCCTGGGTATCTTCCTTGATGGCCGCAGGTTAGGGAACCGCATCGTCGCCCTAGATGAAGCACATAAAGTAAGAAAAGCCAGTATCGTTGAGGCTAGAGGAAAGAAATGTTTTTACTGACATGGATTCTTTAGTTCCTCGCAGCCACCAGTGACGAAGCGCTTGTGTTGACAGAGACACTCCTAAGCATCATCCGTCAGCAAAGACATCTAGGAACTCGGGTCATCATCGCAACGCAGGAGCCAGCGATTTCTCCAAAGCTACTGGACCTCTGTGATGTGAGTATCGTTCATCGTTTCACTTCACCGGCATGGTATAAGGTCCTAGAAACGCATCTTGCAGGTGCGGTTGTTGGCGTGTCTCGGGAGGAACAGTCAAAATTCGACGTGAATAATTTGTTCGCAAAGATTGTGATGCTAGAGACTGGAGAAGCTCTAGTGTTCAGTGCAAATGGAGTATTTGATGTCTGTAAGAGTAGAACTGAGGACCAAACTTGCGAGAATGACGGAGATGGGACTAGAGCTGGCTATGTCCTGGTGAAATTGGGGCCGCGTTACATCAGATTGAGAATGCGAGCGAGACTGTCTGCTGATGGAGGCCGGAGCATCCTTGCAAAATAATAGTACAGCAGCCTAACGTCAATTCATCACACAAAGCAACTAGTGATAACTGCATACATTGAATTGAAATCTCGTGTTGAGAATACTAGGAGTAATGGCAATCTGATTTGGTAATATTACATGTTGTGCTGAGTTACTACATAGTGGCAACATTGCCACTACCGTAACATTACGGTATTCCACAAATCCGGAATTCCGGTATGCAGGTAAGGGATCTGCTTGAGCAAGACTCAGCTGGTGGACTTTTTCAGGGATTCGCCAGTATGCAAGAATGGATGGAGTTTGGCAACCATGTCAGAAGTTCCCCTCATCTCTTGCTTGCACCCTTGCAAAGACCCAATATTGAGGGCAGAAGGATAGTCAATGGCAAAACTCCATGTAAAAACCGTTGCCTTTCATTTATCAGTCAGAGTTGAACTGGTCGGAATCTTGTTGACAGGAAGAATAAAGTGGTCGAAGCTGGCGATCAAGACCAAGGCTAGGGCTTTAAGAGCTGCACCACGACCTCACCTTCCAATGTCATGTGCAGCATTCATTAGCATCCAATAAACTCCACGAAATGAATGTGAGCAAATTCCTGCCCTCTATATCGGCTTCAATTGGTCCTTGGCGTATCTCGCTGGTGCTGCTGACCTGCCGCCTTCAGCCAATAGCGTGAAGCATAACATGACAAGGGGAAAGAGAGTGATGCTCAAAAATGAGTATTCCAGCCTTCCGAGTATTTCAGCCTTCCAAAAGCACTTAAAAAGGGACTCCCTCACCGTCCTTTTCCCAGGCTTTGACAACCTCGGAACACTTCTTGCTCGACTTAATTCAGAACTGCCATTCGCTACCAAAAACAAAGAGGAATCCTGCCTGAGCATATCTGTCCAACTCTTATGAGCATGGGTACTCTAGAAGGTACGCGTTTGATCTATAAATTGAGCCAGAGACTTATTTTTTCAGGCATGGAAAACTGGGGGACAAGCAAGTTCAAAACCACGGACCTCGGGAAAGGCGTTACCAATGTCCACATTTGCGGTTATAAGAACGAGAAAAACGAAGGGGACCTGGATGGTAGGCCGCCAACCAACCACTGGGCTGCTTTCCTCGAAGTACACGGAGGTGGATCGGTCAGGCTTGACATGGTACCGGGAGACGGGGCCGACGGGTTGACGGGGATGCTCATCATTGAGTCGAAAGTATACAGTGTTACCAACAACGCGTCAAAGTCTCTCTTCTTCACGGCTCTCGGTCACGCGACTGTGAAAACGATCACAGATTTGATTTCCAGTTTGAATCGGGATAAGTATAGGTTCACGGAGCATGAAGAAGGCTGCAGGTATTGGATCTACACCTTCATATCAGACTTAGAGGGTGCAGGTATTATTGGTGCTGGGAGTAATGTTCAAGCTTGGAATTCTCTGTCGAGATATTGGTGCCACCCGGCCGGCAGTGGTTCTGAAGCAAGGGTGGTTGAAAAAGGAGCTTTTCTTTAGTAATTTCAATAAACCAGAGATGAGATAATCAATACCTTCATCTTCTTACCTCTGTTACGTTTGGAGAATTGAATAGTTGTGTCCAGAGTAGACTCTGTGGAGGCGGAGGATTTACAGTCGCCGCTCAAAAGTGTTGGCCGCGAAGTCTAATTTCTACCCTTCACTTGTTCATCTATAAGTACGGAGTACCACTGTCTTGTTTGTTAGGAACAGACGCAATATTACCATAGCAGAATCGCGGATCTCTGCACTACCAATTTTCTGAGCTGTTACGTAACCATTACCACCACATCGTAGTTTCAACGTTGGTGACAGTAACTACTACGTATTTTGACTACTACGTAGTAAGAGCTTACTACGTTGAATCTACTATACGGAGTATGGTAATAACAACGTTTTTAAATCTAATAAGGAAATGATCAGCAGGTGAAAAATTTTCATTCATCTTTTTCAAATCTAAGTCACTCACTAACTCTCTTCTACTCCGTACAGTAGAAGCCTACGCGATTTTCTACTATCCTACTAGCTAGGCTGGCAGGCGATTTCTACTATCCTACTAGCTAGGCTGGCAGGCGATTTCTACTATCCTACTAGCTAGGCTAGTAGGCGATTCTCTACAATTCTACTAGCTAGGCTAGTAGGCGATTTCTACTATCCTACTAGCTAGGCTGGCAGGCGATTTCTACTAACTGGGAGACTACACAAATTCTACTATTCTACTAGATTTTACTGTTTTCATAGTTTTTGTGGACTTAGAAATTTTCTGGAAGGTTCTTTGTATGTAGGTGTAATTGTACTTGTGGTAGAAATAGCTAGCTGTACTCCAATACAAAACATTACTAAAGTTAAATACACTTAACCAAGTTAACTCCAATTAACTCTATGCAAGACAACGTTGCGAATACCGACTCAAGTTGTGGCAACCAAACAAAGGTAATATTACGCAATTGTAGTTTCAACGTTGTGCTGAGTTACTACGTAGTGGTTACCCACGGCTACGTTGCCACTACCGTAACATTACGGTATTCCACAGATCTGGAATTCCGGTATGGTATAGACTCTCAGTCACATGATCATCACGTGCTCCTGTGTAGTCTGATACTTTTCCATAACTAGGCCACCGAGTTAACTTGCTCAGCCCGCCATGTGTCTCCAGGGTGTTAAAAAATTCATCACCAACTTGGCTGAGCAAATATCACAAAGAGCCTCTGAGCCTCTCCCTTCAATCTTCTTGCAACGTGAGGATACATTAAGGCCGACTGCGATGGGTTCCAGGTTTGAAGAACATCTTCTCTCAGAATACGACAGTACGACACTGACTCGTTACATTCTTGAATCTGAGTCATGCAAGGACTCTTCCAGAGTGTTTTTCCTCTCTCCAAACCTCATAGCAAAACAGTTCTTGTGTGGTGAGGAAATAGGCATGCTTAATGCCCTGCAACTCGCAACAATCCTTGGGGTCAGAGTGCCGGACATAAAGCGGACGATCAAGACAGATGAGAATGTTTATATTATTATGGAGCGGATTCGTGGACAGACTTTGGAAGAAGCCTGGATTCATCTCAGCTGGTTTATGACTTTGCGACTGGCCTTTCAACTGCGCCAGTTTATCCACCGGATGAGAGCCCAGACGTCAACTACTGCTGGATCTCTCTCTGATGGAGCATGCACGTCAGTCTGGATAGATGATTATTATGGGCTCCCTTCACACGCAAGCCCAGAATCCATCTCAGCCTTTATCCACTTCTGGCTCAATTTTGTTCCACCATCGCGATATAAACCCGGGAAGCAGCACTATAAAGAATTCTTGTCTCAACATCATGTCCCATTGGTATTCACGCATCAAGACCTCGCCCCACGGAATATAATTGTTGATGACAGATGCCACCTTTGGCTATTGGATTGGGATCATTCTGGTTGGTATCCTGTTTATTTTGAATATGCATCAATGCAAAACTTTGATGTACCTTCAAGTTGGAGGTGGACCGACAGGTTACGCTGGAAGTTGTTCAGCTGGATTTCGGTCGGGCTATTCCCTCAAGAGCACAGGGCCCTCGAACAAGCCAGAATGCGATTCACTCGCCACCCACTCGGCCGGAAAAATGAAGTGTTACCAGAAGGAGTTCCGGCTCGTGCAGTGCACTTGCGAAAGCCAGGAATGTGACAGAGTCCGTCAAGCGGACGTACTTGGCGAGGAGGTCACTTAGCGAGTTTGCAGGGGTGAACAGTGGGAAGCCGGTTACTTCAACTGTGAAGGGGTGGGATTTGTATGAACTGGTATAATATTCTTCTTTCAAAAACTATAGTCTATTCCCGTTTCAGCCCTTGGCATCATCTAAATGCATCTTTATCGCAGGCAACAGTGACTGGGTCAATGTTGGACGTGGTGAAAGATAGCCTAGAGAGCGGAGGAATGTCAACAGATGGCCGGAAATTCAGCACCGACTCTAGGGCACCCCTCCCATCTTGTCTGGCTCCCTTTGGACTTTTGTCAAACAACACCAAATCTTTTTCTTGCCTTTGTGTGTATTTTTTCCAGTGTCGCGTATCCTGTTGGGGAAACACAACAGAACCTCGTCAAGTCAACATCACTATTTTGAACCCCCACAAACATAATCTCGTGGCCAACAAATATTTCGACGTTGGCACAACAAAAAAAAAGGGTCTTGATACTAAGATCAAAATCGGATATCACTGTGCCTTGCAGGGAACACCCAATGTTTACGCGTGGCTACTCTGCCACGGAGGTCAGTCTGAATGAGTCAACAGAGATGTACAGACACATTGGCTGACAACAGCAACTTTCTCACCAGGACAACAATGATGCAAGCGGCTGATGATGGAACAAAGCCTGCACCACAGCCCCGGCGCTCTCATTGTGAAGTCCCAACAACTATATACAAGGATGCCTTCCTGCTCGTCAACATGGCGGGTCATCAGAGCCGCCAATCAATGTTGACCCTCAATGACTTCCCAACTGTCGTGAACACTAAGCCATGTGCAAGGTGGCAGCATGTACTGCATGGGTTGGATGAAAGGGCTTGGGAGATGTGGAGTGAGAGGATTCTTTGCGATGAGTTTTGCTAAGGGTGGGAAGATTAGAATTCAATGAATATTGTGCACAACAGAAGCAGTATACATACATATACTCATTGGCGCGCGGAAATGCTTTGTCGATGCTTCGGTAATTTGAACCAGGCCAAACAATTCTGATGATTGAGTTCGCTGTGGAGTTCGCTGGTCAAGGTAATATCGGTTTTGACATATGCATGTCACAAATACTAACTGTATTTTGAATGCTAGACAAACGAACCCATCAAGACTTCAACGAGGGACGTGTTGGGGACAACAATACCGCGAGGGCAAAGACTCCAAGGATGGAGATGGGCCATGAATCCAACGGCGTTTACACGGGCGATGGCAGAGCCCACTTCAAATGAAGTTGAGCATGGTCAGACAGCTAACAACAATTACAATATGCCCAGTGGAAACAGGATGTCTTATGTGAGAATCTCTTTGAGTACAGCTGAAGGGCAGGCCTCAAACCACAACACGCAAGACAAGTCAGATGCCTCAACTGGGACGGAGGAGCTGGGCAGTCCACCACCATCAGACATCACAGAGGCCTCGGTAGGGCCTGAAGGGGAAGAATTGAACCACAACATGCAAGACAACCTGGATTCTTCAACTGAAACCGGAGGCCAAGACTCAAACATCGTATGGGGGGACGACGCGGACGCGCCAACTGAGAGTGGAAAGACAGATCTAGATGTTGTGCTGCCACCTGGCAAACTAGAGTCCCCAAACACAATACAAGAGCTAGACAAGGTTTCTGTGATGGGAGCACCTACGCTCAGTCACTAAACGGAGAGCAGAGATTCCAATGCAGGAATATGGTCTCCAGACATCCTCCCAGGGCCGGGGCCGGGGCCCTAGGCTGACCGTCGGGATCCCTTTGGGATCCCAATGGGACAAGACTGAAAGTCAAACCCAATTCAGTTGATCCCAATCCCTTCCCAAAATTTGAAAGTTAGTCCCAATCCCAGCCCAAAATATGAATAAAAGTTCCATTCCCTTCTCAGTTTTAAATTTTATATTTAAGGTCTCATTCCTAGATTTCCCTATCTCTAAAACAACTTTAATTTTTTTTCAAACTTTATTTTGAAAGTGAATTTTTACACCAAAATATGACAAAATAGAAAAATTAGCACATTAAGTCAAAATGCATATATACATTTATATATGATTTTGATACTAAAAGTGTATAAAATAAGATTTTATTTTGAGTTTAGGGAAATTAGAGATCTCTATTTCTAATTAAATAATTTCAATCTCTTTAAATTAAGTCCCATTTCCATCTCAGTACTTGAAACTGAAGTTTCAGTCTGTCATGCCCATTATAAGCTAGGCCTGCCCTAAGAGCTAGTACCATATTAGTTAGTGTAGCTCTAATCTCATCAGTACTTAAAGCCATGCTGGTCTTGTCCCACAGAAGGTCAGTGATGAGTTCTTTTCTTACTGTGCATATAGCAATACTACTTGAATACTATAAGTGCAACTTAGTTATCTTTCTTACACTGTAGACTTAATACATTGTTCTTTAGCATCTATCTTATAAACTGCCATTCTACAGTTCTCATTGCTTCAACATGAAACAGTTCAATAAGCTACTCAGACTTCAGTTAGAAAATTTCTTTCTATTCTATCTTTCCAAATTTGACACATGTGAGAATTGGGGTTGTGAGTAACATGGCAATGATTTGCAAGTCTTCATAAGTGAGGTTAGATTAGACTGATCACAGAGACAGAGATTTTCCAACTGAGATTCTGTCCCAACTGTTTTTTTTTTAAATGGGATGGAAACAGAGCTTGATCTTCAGAGACAGAACTGGAAATGAAATGAAGATTGAAAAATTGAGTTGGAATTGAAACTAGAAATTTTGAAATGAAACTTACTAAGCAGCCTCAGAAAACTCTATAAAGTGAAACTAACTACTACATGCTGAAACTGAGATAGAATAGTGTGAGAATGTGAGAATATTACATTCTCAAATATAATCAAATTTATATACTATATATTGTCTTATATAACATGTGTATAACATGTATAACATCTATAACATTTACAGAGTCATATACATAAATCTTGATTAAATATAAAGTTTGATCTATAACTCTTTTGGAATTAGTTCAAACCTTATTCTATAAAAGTTTATTTCAAACTTTATTTTCTAATAGAGTTACAGCAATAAGGTTACCACCATAGTATTGCTTGTATAAATTATTAATCAAGGAAAGAATAATAAATTGAG